CCATCCGAGCAATTCGTTTCCTCGTCGAACACCGTGCCCTCCATAAAACGCCTCGATTCATTCGCTTCGTTCACGGTTCCGAAGAAACCGGAGCAAAAATTCGTTTGCGATTATTAATAGCCGACGATTCCGAACGGTCGTGGGCATCGACAACAAATACCTCGAGTACGACGCAGTAACGAAGGCGATATTTAAAGCGTCGCGAAAAACCGAGTTTCCTCCGATCGATCGATCTGTCTCCCTCTGACTCTCTTCTTTTGTTGCTTCACGGAAATTACATCGAGAACGAGAGGAAGAAAAGGAGCCGAAGACGAAGCTTAAATCCGGACAAGATTCTCAACCGGCTTGCTGTGGACGCCGATTGCGTAAATCGAATTACCGAAAAGCAATGGCGATTCGTCTTGTAAGACGTCTAAAACAATTCTTATACGATAGCAAAAGGAGTAAAAATTAATGGAAGACAACAGTAATTCATTAAATACAAGTTTTTATAATGAACATGTTAATTAATTATTGTTTACTGGTCATTTTGATAGCATCTGACTCATCTTGACAACCTCGTAAAAAAACATAAGGAAATAGGGGATGAAGAGAGAAAAAATGGCATGGGTGTGGAAGAGGGTAGTTTGGATGCAGTAGCAAACAGGCAGATTGGATTCCCGACTCGATTTACCGGAATGCAGAAATAACAGCTGGCGAGGTATCCTCGAGGCCGATCCGGCTTTGCAATCTTCTCCTCTTTTCTTCTTTCCGCTTTTCAGACATGCGAGAGAAAAGGGACACGGACGGCGGAAGAAGAATGCAAACGCTGAATTCTGGGGATAGTGCAGTAAGGGTGACTCGAGAATGGTTTATACGTACGTGTCTCTGTACGTATACAGTCAGTTGGAAAAGTTTCGGTGCATCCATCCGATAAGTTATCCACGGAAAGCGACTCGCGTTCGCGAAACAATTTGTACGACAAGATGTCAAGTTCTGAAGAACGATGACGTTCATGGATAAAGGTAGATTTATTATTTTTCTGTCAGATAGCGAAGAGAAATAAGGAGTAAAGCAAACAGAGAACTGCAAAGAAGTATGTAAAAATGTATACTGTTAAGAAAGTACATGTACCAGTTTAATAATTATATTGGAGCCCGAGAAAACAATTAAACAGTCAATTTCGTCTAGTTGTTGAGATACGTCAAAATGGATTACGCTATCCTAACTTCGAGGACTATTGTTATCCCTTTAATGTGGACGATTACAGACCAGAAAAATATGTGTCAAATATTTTTATGAGAAATACGTTTCTGTAAAATTTCATTAAAATCCGAGGACGACACTTGGTACGTTATGTCTCCTTGCAAGTAGAAATAACAGGAGATTAGTCAGACAGTCTGAGGAACCTATACGTACATACATTTACATTATTATATACGTAATGCTTCGAAAGATCGGTCTTCCCACTATGTTAGAAAATAAATATGGCCTTTCAGACAAAAAACGATACCCAATTTTCATTTTTTTTCAGCCCCAGCAGCTTCTTTTGAACGAAATCCTCTTAGTTCATTTACTTTCGAATAGATAAACCGTAATTCCGACTCGACGGGGACCTTGACTGTAGTTGTCTCGGATGCAGAGATTTGCCAACCAGGACCAAGACCAAATACAAAAACGCAATTCCGTCAAGCCACCGCCGGAAGCAAGCCAGACTTTCACACTGATAACGAGAAGGCGTTAATGTCTCTAATCGGTACCCAGCTTTCGTTGCTGTTTCTTTCCAACGGAGATGCAATTTTCGTGTAACGTCGCCGCTGGTTAAGCCACTTTCCCCCGTATTCTTTCCGATTGCTCCCTGCACTGTTCTTTAATCTCATGTTTCTTGCATTCCTTCACGGTTACGTAAGTAATCAGTACTGGAGGATATAATCCTACAGAATTGTGTTATATTAGACGAATGTTATCTACTATTTTTACGACGTATCTCCTCAAATCATAAGTTCACTAAAAATTGCTATTCTGCCTTGCACTGTTGTAATTTTCATGTAGCGTAATAAAAATTGATATATTCAGAGAGCTATGGTCGGAAGTATATATTATACATGCTTTAGAGATTCAAAGTGAGATTTAGCGAGGCAGGAAGGGAAGTTAGATCTGGCAGCGAGCGCAGATGTTCTCCCGTTGTCCATGCGCTGCTGCTGAATTAAATACCGTTTAATGACGGAAGTCCGGATCTTCGATAGGAAGCGTGCGGAGCCGCGCGTTAAATGTTACTAGCGCAATGGTTCGTTTAGCAACGAGCCGGCGGTTGCTTCCATCCGGTTGGGGTTGAGGGAGAGGTGAAAATATTGCCGACCGATGGCGAGGTAGCGCTTCGACAGCGTGACCCGAGTTTCCGGCTAATAATGATCGGCCTCTAGAAACACTATCCACGTTTTCTCCGTTTTGTTGCTCACTGGCCAGCGTGTAAAGAATGAGCTTCGCAAGAATCGATTGTGCGGGAAAGAAGATAACGATTCTAACGCTACAAGGCAATGGTTTTTATCTTAACTAGTGTAAGACGACGAAAGAAATTAAAAATCAAAAGTCAGTGTTGTCAATTGTGTCGTTTCTACTTTTATTTATGTACTTAACGGAATTCGATTATAACATGAATTAGAGTTAGCTGTTTCATACATGAGACCAGATATTGAAAACCTTTGTAAGAGTCATCAGCCCCAAATGCTTTATTAAAAAAATGGTGACTATTTTCTTTTTTTCTTAAATTTCATTTATTGATTATTATTTGCTATTGACTGATATGTAAACCGTTACGTATGTGATGTTTATTTATTGTATAATGTAACAAATTTATGTTTCATTCAATTATTATCATTAGAATTATGTCTTTTTAACT